CAGACACAAAAAGTATATTTAAATGAACAAGAATATCTATAGAGAGAAAAGTAAAAAAGGTGCTATTTAGGGTTGGGCTGTAATACTGAGTGAGAGTAGCACAAGGAAGCCTTTTGGGGTGCTAGAAATGTATACATTAATCAGAGTGGTAGTTACGTGGATATAAAAATACACACAAAAATTAACCTCTATGCTTAAAATTGTGCCCTTTAATATACAAGGTACATAATAATTAAAAATTACATTTTTAAAAATATTGCTTGAGATATGGAAAGGTAGAGTTGAATGTAGTGAGATGGAAGAACCTATGGGAAGAGCAGCTGGTTTAGGGTCAACAGTACCATATGGCTATAGATATTTTAAAGTATTTTTTAAAAATATATTTTATTGATTTTTCACAGAGAGGAAGAGAGAGGAATAGAGTTAGAAACATTGATGAGAGAGAATCATCGATCAGCTGCCTCTTGCACACCCCCTACTGGGGATGTGCCCGCAACCAAGGTACATGCCCTTGACTGTAATCGAACCCGGGACCTTCCAGTCCGCAGACCGATGCTCTACCCATTGAGCCAAACCGGTTTCAGCGGGTATAGATATTTTAAATAAATCTGTTGATTCGTTTTGCAAATTTATTTTTGGCACAGGAATATTAGAGGATAGGTTTTGTTGAACTGCCCTAGTATAAATTTTACCCTGCCCCAAACCCCACCATAGCTACTTTTTATCTTTTGATGCCACTTTTCCCTTTCTGAAAGGAGTTTAAAAAAAAAAAAATGATGAAAGCATGCTCACTGTATAAAATTAAGAAGATATAATAAAAGGAAAAAAATTCAATCTCACAATGTGGGGAATCACTGATGACAACTGTCTACGAATCCTATTTAATATACTTTTTTTGTACTGTGTAAACCATTACAGAATAAGCAGTTATACCTACATTACAAACAATCTCTCATTGTTTGAACAAATACTTCATTGCAGAGTATGTAAAACTAGATTTCTGTGTGTTGAATTCCTAAGATTGCATGGGATGATACTCTCACCTGTTTAGACACTAGTAAAAATCTCTGCATAGGGAATCAAGAGAGCTAGAGATATTATTTATTTCCTGTTTATTAAACATAGTGGAATAAAACATGGTAAGGTACAAAACTTTCATGAATTGATTGGCTCCCATCATCCACCCAGCAGTATACTGGAATTTCAAGCCTGGTACTTAAAGTTAATACACTCCGAGTCCATCTTGTAAATTCAAATCTAGTAAGCAACTGCAAACACCATTTGTGTATGATGACAAAAACCCTTCTTCAAGTATCCCTTACTAGCTAGCACAGCACCAGAGAGATCAGCCTCATGGCCTAGAGATGCATTTTCATGTTTTTTAAAACTACTTTCACATAATACAAAACTATGAGGAAGAAATAACTTCACCAATCAAATCATTTTGTCTTCTTCATTTTAAATTGCCTAATTGGGAATACATCTCCTTATGTCATTTAAAAAAAATATATTTTATTGATTTTGTACAGATAGGAAGGGAGAGAGATACAGAGTTAGAAACATCGATGAGAGAGAGTCATCGATCAGCTGCCTCTTGCACACCCCCTACTGGGGATATGCCCGCAACCAAGGCACATGCCCTTGACCGGAATCGAACCTGGGACTCTTCAGTCCCCAAGCCGACGCTCTATCCACTGAGCCAAACTGGTCCCGGCCTTATGTCATATTTTTAAAGGAAAAGGTGAAATAAGCCAAAAGAAAACTGATAATTTATTGGACCAAACATTATTTAAAAAGGGATGGATGAAACGAAAAGCTAATCCATTTATTAAGAATAAGTTAATCTATCAAATTAGCTCCTATTATCTACAATAAAGAGAGGTTGATAGAATACAGACTAAATCAGACAGCTAATATTTGTATCCTAGTTCTGTCACTACATGATCTTAGGCATATTAGCATCTCTGTGCCTCAATGTCCACATTTGTGAAATGGAGATAATAATACCACCTACTTTATAAAGTCCTTATAAGAATTAAGTAAGTTAATGTATCTAAAGTACTTGGTATACTACCTAGAAGATGATGACTCATTATGTGAGTTTAAGTATTAATGCAGGCCTGGCATTTTGTTAGGTGCTAGAATTACTAAGAGGATTTAGAAAACCACACTAGCATTAATCACCAAAGATACTTTTGGTAGGTAAAGGAAAATTGAGATTTAACATCTAGTTTTTAAAATATGTTTTTTTTAATTTTTATTTCAGAGAGCAGGGAGAGGGGGAGAAAGACAGAAACATCGAGTCCACAACACAGCCACATGCCCAACTGGAATAGAACCCGCAGGCCTACACTCTATCCACTGAACCAACCAGCTAGGGCTAACAGATATTTTATACTAAATTAGAGGCCCAGTGCACAGATTCGTGCACCAGTGGGGTCACTCAGCCTGGCCTATGGCCTCTCACAATCCCTGACCTCTCGGGGGGATGTTGGATAGCGGGTTTTGGCCCAATCCCCACAGGCCTGATCCAGACAGGAGGGAGCTCTTATGTATTGAGCATCTGTCCCCTGGTGGTCAGTGCATGTCATAGCATCCTGTCGACCAGTTGCTTAAGTTTTTATATATATTGATATGCCCAAACCTAGGCATCTACACTGGGGTTCTTTAAACATTTCTATGTACTTCATTTACTGATCTTGAATTTGAATTCCTACATTAAGAAAGTTAAAAGTTTAACTTCTTGCTTACAGTTAAAATATTCAATACTGATTATAATAAATAATGTAGTAGCAAGTTTTTAGAACACACTTTTTTGCAGGTAATTTGGAAATCAAGCTCTATGAGAGATAAAAAAATATTCCCAGCAGCAAAGCTTTAAAAAGAATAAAACATTTATGTCACAGAATTAATTACATCTTAGGGTTATAATTTATACACTGCATCTTGCAGTTTGATAATATATGTTTCTGCCCTAAATTTCCAGACTGTCCTTCCATCTTGTGCACTGAGATAATTTCTGCCAATCCTCCAAATCCAGCTTCTGAACCACTACAGAGTAAAGCCTGCTCCATGCCCCTCCTCTCTGCTTATGTGCTGCATCACTCCACCAACAACTTTTTCAATCAACAGTTTAAAGCAGCAGTTGCCAATCAGTGGATCACTGGTGGACTGTGAGGTGCAAAAGGTTGGCAACCACTGATTTAAAGCACTGCTGCGAACAAAAATTTAATGTAAACTTCAAAAGTAACTTTAAATTTTTCAGTAGCCACTTTAAAAAGTAAGATTAATGTATTTTTTAACCCAAAATAACCAAAATATTATCATTGCAAAATGCATTTAGTATAAGAAAAATTATTAAGACATTTTACATTCACTTTTACATACTAAGTCTCCAAAATAAGAGGTGTATTTTATACTTGCACTAGAGACTCGATGCAGGAAAATTTGTGCAGGGGGTGTATCCCTCAGTCCAGCCTGCACACTGTCCAATGTGGAACCCCTCTTACAATCCAGGACTGCAGGCTCCCAACCGTTCACCTGCCTGCCTGCCTGATTGCCCCTAACCACTTCTGCCAGCCTGATCACCCCTAACCACTCTCCTGCAAGCCTGATTGATGCCTAACTGCTCCCCTGTCAGCCTGATTACCACTAACTGCCTTACCCTGACAGCCTGGTCAACCCTAACTGTCCTCCCCTACTAGTCTGGTTGCTCCTAAATGTCCTCCCTTGCAGGTCTGGTCACCCCCAACTGCCCTCCCCTGTTGGCCAGGTCACCCCTAACTGCCCTCACTTGCAGGCCTGGTCGACCCCAACTGCCCTCCCCTGCAGGCCTGGTTACCCCTCCCTGCAGAACTGGTTGCCCCCAACTGCACCTCCTTGCCAGCCTAGTTGCCCCTAACTGCCCTCCCCTGTCTGCCTGATTGCCCCCAATTATCCTCCCCTGCTGACCTGGTCCCCCCACAACTGTCCTCCCCTGCAGGCCCAGTCGCCCCCAAATGCCCTCTTCTACAGGCTCAGTCACCCTTAACTGCCCTCTCCTGCAGGCCTGATCACCCCTAACTGCCCTGACTTGCAGGCCTGGTCCCTCCCAACTGCCCTCCTCTGCTGGCCATCTTGTGGCAACCATCTTGTGTGTTGGAGTGATGGTCAACTTGCATATTACCTCTTTGTTAGATATGATAACATCTCAAGTTGGATTACCCATATTTTAAGAGCTCAACAGGCACATTTGGCAAATGCTACTGTACTGGACAGTGCAGACAGATATAGAGTCTATATAAGCAATATGGCATCACCACTGCCATCACCTAGAATTTTGTTAGAAATGCAGAATCTCAGCCCACCTCAGACCTAACAGAACAGAAATTTTACCAAGTGATCTGAATGCATAAGCAAGTTTGAAAATTACTAGACCACACATAGCTTGGGAGCCTTAATGAATTGTTACTGCCATTCAACCACTATGTGATATTATGTTACCACTGAACACAGAACACTGTATTTAAATAATAATGGCTTTTCGGAGTCATGTTTTCTCTACTGTCCAACAGAACTTTCTGTAATGGTAAAATTTATACATTCACTGCCCAAATAGTAGCCACTGGCCAAATATGGCTAGTGAATACTTGAGAAGTGACTATTGGAACTGATAAATTAAAGTTTTAATTTTATTTACTTTAGCTCATTCAAACTTAAATAGCCCCACAAAGCAAGTAGCTACCTAACTATTTAGTGTAACTTTAGGAATATTAGTTACTCATATAATTATCACAGTGTAACTTCTATTAGGGTCTTCAGATCAAATTTTGGTTTTAGTTAAGATAATTCCTCTAATTAGCTACACTTCTTTCTCTCTTAGCAACATGTTTACCACTTTACATTGGCTGAGGCCAACTCTGAAACCTACCTTTAGGGAAGCATAATAAAAGTTATAGTACGTGATTTTGTATGTTAACTTATTTCAGCTTGTTATCAATTAATAAAACTAATACGCATACCTGTACAGTCTTTTTTATTCTATGGGAAGGACCTGGATACTCTGGAGAATACAGATCTGTGAGGAATAATGAGTTGATTAACGTTGACTTTCCCAATCCAGATTCACCTAAAAGAAACAGGGAGGAGGGGGAATCTGTTAAACTCTGCCACGTTATCGACTTTACTATTCAACCAATGCTATAATTAAACTTGCTATATGTAAGTACTTCTTGGTGGGACAAAAATGTGACATTAGAAATATACTATAAAGATTTCCTATTAGAGTAAGCTCTTTGTCCTCATTTTCTTATCAAATTAGACCCATGTTTCCAAGGTATCCTTTTAGTTTTATAACTTTACAAAGTAATGTACCTGATCAATAGCTTCCATTTAGAAAAAATGTTTTTACTGACTTCAGAGAGAGGAAGGGAGAGGGAGAAAGGGATAGAAACATCGATGATGAAAAAGAATCATTATGGGCTTCCTCCTGCACGCCCCCCACTGGGGATCGAGCCTGAGACCCAAAAGCCATGCATATTTTATCCCAGTTCTCTGACTGGGAATCAAACCATGACCTCTTGTTCATAGGTCGCTGCTCAAACACTGAGCCACACCAGCTGGGCAATAGCCTTCATTTTTAACAATAATGTATCCCCTAAAGGTCAAAGTTAGGCATAAACAAAACACTGGATTGTATAAAGCTGCTTTAGTGAAATAAAACATAAAAGTAAAAATGCAATAATAAATGAATGGCTAAAGCAAGAAATCATACAGCTAGGAAAAGAATCTCCCTAAACACACACACACACACACACACACACACACACACACACACACCCATATACACACTGGCTGGGAGAAACCTATAATATACCATTTAATTCAAACATGGTACAAAGAAGATTGCACAATGCGCTACAAGAGCACACAATGAAAAACAACAGGCCTCTCAGATACTGATAAACCAAGTAGTTTAAAAAAATGAAAATAATCGAAATAATATGGTTGATTAAAAATAAATCTGAATAATATGCTTGATTTAAAATAAATGAAAAAATCCTCCCTAAATAAACGTTTTTCAGATATTTATTAAATACTTATATACTGTGATCATATCTTTGAGTTTTAGCCCATGAAAGCCATACATATTTCATCACTCTTCAGAAATATTACATTTCAAGCCTAAGAATAAAACTCCCATAAGATGTTTGCTCACAAAGTTTCGAAGTCCCACCATTTAAAGATGGTTAGTTTCAACAATAAAGATTAAAATAAATAAATAAATAATAATAATAATAATAAAAGAAAAAAAAAATAAAGATGGTTAGTGGAAAGAAATCTAAGGAACCAGATAAAAAGTATCACAAAAAGTGAGAATTACAAAAAAAAAGTGGTCAATAATACCAAATAAGAGATTTTTTTTAAAGTGGCCATCGGACAATGAGAAGGCCTTTTACTGACCTTTAATAAAAGCAATTTTATATTAAGTCAAATGGTGAGAGCTAACAGGTGGGAAATTTAAAAGTACAGATTTATTCAGTTAAATAGAGAAAAGATATCACCTAGGAGGTAGATAAAAATAAGATATCCAGGAGGGTATTAGTCTTTGTTTTGCTTTTTTATTTGCTTATCTCTGAAGATTTAATCTAATAGTTTAGGTTACATTAGATACTGATTATTTCCAAGGTATTCTATATATCCTGGAATTTGCTATAAAATTCATCTCCTCAAAATCTATTAGGGTATCCTTCAACATATAGATGATGTACAGGATAATTACAAAATGCAAGCTAAACAGGTTCCCTATGACCTTGTTCTACAATTATTTAAACAAGGTTTACATATTCTAATTACAGTAATTGACCACCAGCTCTAAAAGCTAAGTAGTAATTCTGCTGTGTAGCTAGTAGCAAACATTCCAACCAGCTGCTCAATAATTACCTCATTCACTGAGTAAAGTTTTCACTTGCTATGCATCAAAAGTTGGGAGGTCTTAAGGAGGATATTTATTTATGATTTATGATATTTCTTGCTATACTCAAATAAAAGTACTTTTTATAGCCCAATTTGGGAGGAAAAACCTAAATGTCTCTGTAGAAAATTTTGCTTATGATTAATCATTTTTAAAATGGATGATCACAACTTTGTCTTTAAAATGCACTGTCCTTAGTGGGTGAATGTCTGGGGTGGGGCTGGGGCTGAATGGAAGGGGGCAAAATAGGGGGTAATGGGTGACATCTGTAATATTGTCAAGAATAAAAATAAATGTACTTTTTTCTTTTTTAAATATTTTGTTGATTTTTCACAGAGAGGAAGGGAGAGGGATAGTTACAAACATCGATGAGAGAGAATCATCGACCAGCTGCCTCCTGCACACCCCCCATTGGGAATGTGCCCGCAACCAATGTATATGCCCTGAGATCCTTCAGTCTGCAGACTGATGCTCTATCCACTGAGCCAAACCGATTTCGGCTATACTTTTTCTTTAGGCTAGGTCAGTGGTCAGCAAACTCATAGTCAACAGAGCCAAATACCAACAGTACAACGACTGAAATTTCTTTTAAGAGCCAAATTTTTTAAACTTAAACTTCTTCTAACGCAACTTCTTCAAAACAGACTCTTTAGTGGTATTTTGTGGAAGAGCCACACTCTGCTGACCACGGGCTAGGGCATGCCACCTTTTGGAGTTTGTAAATCAAGTTTCTGTAAGTTTTGCTAAACTGAAGAAAAGAAAAAAAGAAGCTGAAATCAACAGGTACTGTTTAACAGCTCTCCGTACCACGTTCCTCTAAATTCTTCATGTTGTTGCCTGAAAGTCTAACTGATCATTCAATAAACATCCCCTCATAAAATCAAGCATTCTTGGAAACACTCTTAGTCTTTAATACTGGGGTGGGGGTGGGGAGGGTGGAGAGATTTACATTTTTCCTCTATAATTTCTTTCTAGTAGTGGCCAGCATTCACTGAGTTTTAGTTTGAATGGAAATAGGATTAGTTTTGAAAAATATGAATTAGAGCCGAAACCGGTTTGGCTCAGTGGGTAGAGCGTCGGTCTGCGGAGTGAAACGTCCCAGGTTCGATTCCGGTCAAGGGCATGTACATTGGTTGCAGGAACATCCCTGGTGGGGAGAGGGGGGCAGGAGGCAGCTGGTCAATGTTTCTCTCTCATCGACATTTCTAGCTCTCTCTCTATCCCTCTCCCTTTCTTTCTGTAAAAAATCAATAAAATATACTTAAAAAAATATGAATTAGAAAAAATGAAGATGTTGTGGAAATACAGTGGAGGGTTCTATAAAACTAGAGGGCAGCTTAAGGCTAATGATCACACTAGAGAGTAAGAAAAAGTTTCTCGCTAGTGTGATCATTAGCCTTCAGGGGGAAAAAAAAAAAACCCCACACAGGAGTATAACAAAAAAAAAACAACACACCCCAAAACATTTTATTTGGATAGAAGAGGGGAAACAGGGAGTTGATCTATTCTTGAGCAGAGAGCACATTCTACAAACTGACATTAAGAGTGCCTTTTAAAGCTGATGGGCTGACTTTGATCTTATGCATTAGATGACTCATATATTCTTTCAAGACCTATATATCTCATATACCCAAATTTATACACCAAGGACAGTGGCAAGTTGCATGAAGTACACTGGTGATTGTGCTAATATGTATTTCTTTAAATAAAAAAAAATCAACAACACAAAAACATGAGTATGCATAGTTATAACATTCACAATAGTTAATGGTGTAAATATGCTTAATAAAAAGCTAGACAGATTTCATATTTTTCTGAATTAGAGACCTAAATGTCTTATCAATAAAAACAGAAAAGCTGTAGTTCACAAAAGGATACATTCAGAGATTACATATTTTTTCTGAAAATCAAGATAATATGAGCATTAAATGTTTTTATCTGGCCCTGGCTGGTGTGGCTCTGGCCACAAAGTGAACGTTGCAGGTTCAATCCCCTCTCGGGGTGCATACAGGAGACAACCAAGTGTGTGTGTAGATGTGTCCCTCCCTCGAATCAATGAAAACATATCCTCAGGTAAGAGGTAACAGTTAAAAATATATAATTTTATCTAGAAAAACCTCACAGGCATTTAAAACTCCATCTGACCTGCATATGCCAATATTATTCTACTAAGTATATGTTCAATAAATTACTCTTTAATCCGACTGGAGTGGCTCAGTAGCTGAGTATTGACCCATGCACCAAAAAGTTAGTGGTTAGACATGCCACAAGTTGCAGGCTCAATTCCCAGCAGGAGTATGTGCAGGAGTCAGCCAATCAATTTGATGCTTCCTTTCATTAGTATTTCTGTAGCTCTCTTTCTCTCCCTTACTCTCTTAAAAAATTTTTTTTAATATAAAAACTTTTTGAAAATCATTATAATTATCGTAATGGGACCCTGGAAGTTCTCTTACAAATTAAAAAAATGATCTTATACTTGTCTACAGTTTGTCATTTAAGATCACTAACATTACATATGTAAATGTACTATTTCTTCACATATAATGATCATGTTTCCAACTTATGGAAGAAAAGGAAGGTTCTATAGAAGTTTTATCCATATAGCTAGACTCTCTTCTATTCCACAGCAGCAATTTGGAAGCTAGACATACTATACTTCTACTCTACCTGTGACAGGCAAGTTAATTAACTAAAGTATTATGATCAACTGATAAAAATATTTTTCCCTTCAATGAAGGAGTATCCTATCTAATAAAAGAAGGGAAAATGCTAATTGACCATCATGCCCTCACAAAGATGGCAGTGCCCACAGCCAATAAGGAGGGAGTATGCTAATTGACATACTCTCAAAGATAGCAGCACCCACAGCCACAAGATAGCAGCACCCAGTACCCTTAGCTCCCGCTGGGGCGGCAGGTGCCAGACCCACCCAACCGCTCCACGTGCCTGCCTCTGGAGTCCCTTAGTCCCCTCAGCCCCCAGCTGCCCAGGGCTGGTCCCAGGCTTGACTGTGCCTCGGATGATGGCTGCCTAGCTGCCCCAGGCCGCCCAAGGCTTAGGTAACGAGGGTCAGCCGAGGCTTGCGTTGCTGGCAGTGGCAGCAGCAGAGGTGTGATGGGAGCATTGCTTTCCCCTGATCTCCGGGTCACCTCCAGCCCCTGAGGGCTCCCAGACTTGAGAGGGGGGAGGCCGGGCTGAGGTACCCCTCCCTCCAGTGCATGAATTTTCATGCACCATTCCTCTAGTTTTATACATAATTTAATCTAAGTTAATACCAGGGGTTGACTATATTAGCAAAAATTAATGCATACAACATAAAGGCCCAGTATCAACTCAATATTCTTTGTCAAGGACAGTTAATCCATTATCCTGCTTTTAACTTTCTTACAAAGTATAGACAAATACAATAAAGTTGCATCATACTTAGGATTTGTTCTAAAATCAGCCTATATGAAATGAAAACATAGTCATTTAAGATTAAGACTGTCATTTAAGTCTACTCATTTACATATGGTAATGTGTTCCTTCATATACAATGATGATGCTACCAACCTAATATCAAAGTAACCATTGACAATCTCTTAAAATTGGCTACATGCAGGATAAGGTATTCACAGAATAAAACACAGGAAAAATTAGACTGAATTAAAGAATAAGGAGATTCTTATTTCACTCACTCCAGGACGTATACTCAAGGAATGAATTCCTGGGGTAATAATTTGCATGATTATGATCCTTCCTACCCTATCCTTCTTTTTTTTTTAAATTGAGAGCACTATGTTTAAGTTAAATGCTCGTGTGCTATGACACTACTTAGCAATATAAACCACAGAAAAAAATTATCCTGGAGAAATAAGTAATCACTAGATGCTCTTTCCTCTTGTAGCATAACCAAGTGAACAGAACTTCTCTAGTGTTCTATTCCACCACCTCCCCACTGCTTGTCAACTTTTAGTTTCCAAAACTGTGTCATCTTTAAAAAGGAGACAAGAAAACATATAAATCCTGTTATACCAAGCTAACTTTTAAAATGTATTTCCATAAGAGAAAATATAACACAGAATCCCTGCAGTTTTTTGGACTATTGTTTTCTTAAATTCATCCAGAATTGATTAATAGTTAAAAATTTAGATCAAAATTCAATTTTAGGGAGAAATCATATCTTACCCACAACCATAAGTGTGAATTCAAATCCTCTCTTCACTGATTTCCTGTATACTTGATTTGGTAGATTGGCAAATCCAACATAGCCTTCAAGGTTCTTCTGTTGCTGAGAAAAGAAAAAAGGGCCAAGTTATTCATATATCAAGAAACTCTTTTGTCACACATTTCAAATTCCCTTCATTAACCTATTTTTGAAAGCGATACAAACTATTATTCATGGCAAATAAAAGACTTCTACTGGTATCATAGAAGTATTGGTTAACTGCAACAATGGACAAAATGAATTAAGCATGAGTTAACTGACAATATAATAGTCAATTATAAAAACCCAAGGAAATAAAAATAAAGAAAACCTGCCTCTGAACAAAGATTTCACTTTATAGTGAATTAGTCACAATAAGATTCTGACCAATCAACTTAAAAAGAAACAACAAAGGATTATTCACAATATAAAATCCCTTAAAATTATACTAAGAACTCTTCTAATTATCCCATTTGTTCATATTAATTACCACAGGCATGAAAAAAAAAAGTTGAGTTTAAAACAATTTCTCCACAAATTTTTGAAGGCTCTTATAACCCAGTGTTAATCAATAAGCAGTATATTTCATGCTACTATACCAGACCCAATTATGTTACTTCAAGTTTTCACATGATCCTGCTACCTCTATTATCAGGGAAATCAGATTTATCCTGGTTTTAGATTACAATTCAGTTTTATAACTTTTATGTTTTCTGATGACCTCAATATAATAGTTTCATGAGTAATTCAAAGAAACTTACTTCTAAATTGATGTAGTGAATAAGTCTGATTTTTAACTTACCCATTGGTGAGAAAAACTGTCCATAGTTCAGGCCATCTGAGTAGAGTCTTAGTTAATTTTACTTAGAGGTAGGTCTTATTCATCATTAAAATATAATTGCAAAAATATTCCTAAGAGGTACTCATTTCTCTTAAAAGTTTTTGTAACATTTAAATTCTCATTTAAAAACCTCATATGAGATTAAAGCATTAACTTAACACATTTGGATTTAACAACAGTCTGCATTCCTCACTAGTATCACATATGTAGTTTAATATTCTATCCATAACCTTTTACTGTTTTTTTTAATTCTAATTAAAAAGTTAAAAAACTATTTTTTAAGCCAAATGTTGAGACAAAAAAGCCAATTAAATTGAAAACCTAATTTTAAATGTAATTATGATATGATCAGATATACTATTTTAAAATAAAATATCTGAGCCGGGACCGGTTTGGCTCAGTGGATAGAGCGTCAGCCTGCGGACTGAAAGGTCCCGGATTCAATTCCGGTTGAGGGCATGTACCTTGGTTGCGGGCATATCCCCAGTAGGGGGTGTGCAAGAGGCAGCTGATAGATGATTCTCATTAATATTTCTAACTTTCTATCCTTCTCTCTTCTTCTCTGTGAAAAACCAATAAAATATATATTAAAAAAAAAAAATCTGAGAGCCTACAATGTGTAGAACTAAAATTAAGACTTCCTTGGCTTATATTTCATCCAACTATAAGTTAATTTAGACTGAAAAAAGTCTCTGCATAAATTATCAAGTATACTCACAGCTACTTTGTAAAGAACACAGTTCCATCATTCCAGTGTTCCAAATTCCAACAGAACAGATCCACAAAGGAACAGTAAATGAAGAATTCCAAGAATTGTACATGATACATATAGTCCAAACAGGAGAGGAATCCAATGGAACATAGCAAAAGATAGGAATAAAATAAAGTTAGCTACATGTAATTCAACAAATCAGAGGTAAATTACAAATAAATTAAAGGCATACTTTTTTTTTTTTTTTTTTTTTAGGGATACAAGGCCCAGTGAGTTTAGTTCATTTTTAGCAGTTCTCTTGATGAAATATAAAACAAAAAGCCGAAACCGGTTTGGCTCAGTGGTAGAGCATCGGTCTGTGGACTGAAAGGTCCCGGGTTCAATTCCGGTCAAGGGCATATACCTTGGTTGCGGGCACATCCCCAGTGGGGGGGGTGCAGGAGGCAGCTGGTCGATGTTTCTCTCTCATCGACGTTTCTAGCTCTCTATCTCTCTCCCTTCCTCTCTGTAAAAAATCAGTAAAATATATTTTTTAAAAAAGAAATATAAAACAAAAAACCTCCTACCTTTTAAATGCCCTGTACCTGAAGTGTTAGGAGAAACTAGAGGCCCTTTGCAGGAAGATTCCTGCAAGAACAGGGCCCGAGCGAAGCAGAGAAGGGAGCAAACCCCACCAAGGCAGACTTCCCTCTCCCCAATGCTGTCGCCCCATGCTTTCCCTCCCGCTGCTGCCCTATTTTCTGCTTTCTCTCCCTCTTCCTTCTACCTTTGTCTTCAATCTTCGCTCTGTGCCTGCGTATGCAAACTAACCACCATCTTTGTTGGGTTAATTTGCATACTTACTCTGATTGGCTGATGGGCAAAACGGAGTGATGGCCAATTTGCACGTTTCTCTTTTATTAGTGTGGATGGTGGGAAAGTTGTCAAGCATAAAGTTTCAGGAAGGTATACAGGAAACAAGTTTAAATCCCAATAAGAAAAAAATGTTAATTTTGCTTTGTCAGTCACTGAATTAAGATAGCCCAGATCAGATAAAGAAAAAATGTTTTAGGTAAAATATTTACATGTTACTGTATTTCAGGTTTTATTAATTACCTAAACTGAAATTCAGAATTGGAAGAAATACAGGCTCATGGATGGATACATGAAAGGGAAGGAAAAGACAGAAAGCAGAAACAAATGGAAAAATGAAGTAAATGTGAGCTATGAAACTGAAAGACAACTAATGAAGCACAAAGAAAACAGACTGCTCTTGAACAAAATGTCTGTGAAAAGTGTGCATTTTTTATTCAATACTGACATGAATCTGTGAGTTACATTACAACTTGAAACAATGATGATAATATGCTAACTCTTCACGGCAAGGCCCACCCTGACCACCTTTTCTAACATTATAATCCCAATCATCACCTCAGAACTTTGCTGCTTTTATGATTTTCTCCTTAGCCCTAGCCACCATCTAACATACATTGTACTCATCTTGTTTATTGCCATCTCTGCCCCAATCCACCTCCAACTAGATTGCAAGCTCCATCAAAGTAGAGATTAATAAATTATATAAATTGTGGCATCAAAAACAACAACAAAAAAACCACCAAAAACAAACAAACAAAAAAACCCACACGGCCATCTGGGAGAGTTGAAGAAGTTTCAGAGAAAGTATATATAGGTTGTATATTCAAGAAACCCACCAGACAAAAAGCATAACAAAACTGCCTCAAAGTCTGCCCCCCTGTGTCTTATTCCTTGCTTTATTCTCATCTCCCAGAACTGTCTTTGGCATATAGTATAATTTGAGGACTAAAGTAAAAAAAGAGAAGTATTCTAGGCTAAGTGGCAGCCCTAAAACTGGGATTAACTTTTACTCCCAGGAACCAAAAGAAGGTACATGAACTGTAATGATGAGAAGTACTGGACCTGGGGATAAGTGATAGAAAATGAGGTCAGGGAGGGAGTCAGGGGTCAGGTCATGTGGGATCAGACAAAAGAAATATGGATGCTATTTTAGGTATGATGGGAAGCCACTGGAGGGTTTCACACAGGCGATGACCTGACCTGATTTGTGTTTTAAAGATAGCTCTCACTGCTTAGAGAAGGAGTGAAAATAAACTAGTAAGGAGCCTATTGCAACAGTCCAAGAAAGAAAGGATACACTAACTTTAGATGGTGTAGATTAAGATCAGAAGGATTCAGAATGTCTTGAAGGTAGAACTGTCAGGACATTGCTAATGGACTATATTTGACTGGTGAAGGAAAAAGAGACTGAAGAAAACTCCTAGGTTTTTAGCTTGAACAATTCCATGGCTAGATATTTCTTAGGGAAAGAGGCAACAATAGAGAAGGAAAAGGCTGGAAAAGTCAGAGCCAAAGTTGCCCCCCAAAAAAGAGAAAAATAAAAATAAAACAAAAAAAAAACTTTGAACATGCTCAGTTTGAGGTGTCTATTACATATTCAAGGAGAGCTGTCCAGCAAGCAATTAAGTTCCAGGGTTAGTTGGTGCTGCAAACATAGATTTTGGAATAATAAGCATATAATTAGTATTATGGAAGGACTGAAAAGAGCAACTTGTTTTAGAAACTGCTAAGTATACTTTTCAGTAACAACAAAACTGATCATGGGGTGTTGTAATAAACTGAAAGCCCAACAAAATCGGAATTTGAGGAAAATTAAGATATATTCCTAGTACAATCTACGTAAAAATCTTCAACTCCTCCCATTTTTACAAAATGAAAAGTTCAGCCCAAATTACCTTAACATGACCAGAATTCTCTCTCTCCCCTTGGTAACTACAATTAAAAAAAAAAAATCAGGCTACAAATATCAAAGGTTTATATCAATAACTTTAAATATCAAAGATAAACATTTGGTCTTTCCTATATAACTGCAAGTCCAATCTGTACCCCTTTAGGTCTTAAAACATAGGTATATTGTATACTGTTTTACACACTGACAAAAATAATACATTTCTTTCTCCTAAAATGTAAGTTAATTCTAAATATAAATAAATAATACACCACAAAAAAGATATTAATTCATAAACTTACTTATCTATTATTCAGTGTATTAACAAAAGCCTTACATCATATACACAGATACAAGTATCTAGCACTTGCTTAATTAAACTCCTACTATCTCTTACATACAAGGAAAGCATTTAAAAACTTAATCACTTAAATGTTTTAAATATTTTAAATATAACTGGTATAAAAATACCTAGGTTCTAGATTTACTGTTTCAAAAGCATTAAGATGTTACAACATTATATAGGCATGTCCTAAATGTTGGTTTTGATGTTCCTTCCAATATTTTTAAAAGTTCTTGTATCAGTTTGAATGCCCCCTGCTCCTCCTCCTTTACTGAGATGAGTTCCTGTTTTCACTAACCAAAGGAAAGCAAAAGGACTTTTGCTTTTTTTTTTTTAATAAAAAGGTGGGGGGACAGCACTGTTTGTTTTATAAGGGCAGTGAACACCCCTAACCAGGAGAGTTCCCAGGAACTAAACTCACTACTTCAACATTAAGCTGCCATAGCTTTGAACTATGTCTGTTACCAAATCTATTTCATCTCAATTTATTTTGTGCATCTGTTACAAGGTATGTACTAAGGTATTGGGGGGAGGGGAGGAACAGATCTAAGGGTGTTACATTTAGTGTAAAACTGGACATAAGTATATTTGGTATGGCGGGTTATTTTGGGGGTCTGGAAACACTAAAAATATTTTCCATATAAATAATGGTAATTGCTTCTTTGCTTTACACATTTCAGTTTATAAAAGATTTCACAGGAATACTCCACTTTCATATAGTGAAGGAAACCTGTACTAGCTGGCACAGTATTTATTAGGCACCTTTAAACATTTTCTTGTGTACATATTAGACAATTAAAATAATATAGAATGAAATGGCATTAAGAAACTGGCAGAATAAAGATCTCAGAAAATTCTCTCCATTGAAAGAAATGAAAAACTGGCGCAATTATCAAAATCAACTTCTCCAGAACCCTGGAAATTAACAAAAGACTTGCAACAATCCAAAGAATGCTTATTCAATAAAAAGGACTGAATCTCAGCAAAAACAGCAGCCCTTTTTGCATTTTAACTTGCCCATTCTCATCTCCCTTCCCCAGCACCACAGTAGCCTTGGAAACAAACAACATGCAATAATGACAAAAATCAGCCGTGTTCACAACTGGAGGAGACAGCTTCAAAGCATCATTCCCCAAGAACTATCATTATTTGACATGTCTGGTGGTTCCCTGAAAGATTCCACAAGA